TCACATATATTGTATATGCGTTTGAATAGTATTTGTATAACTATATTAAATGTACAGATGTGGCTTTAACCCTGCTGGGTTCATAGCCTCAGTGTCAGCACACACTCACAGCAGGACAGTGAAAATACCCACAAACTGACATTTTACAGCCTTAGATGAATTATACTTCAGCGATTTTCTTCTTCTATCAAGCGAACTTTATCCCAAAATGTGTAATTTTAAAGGATTTATGTTAATTCTAGGTAATTCTAGTTAATTATCGCTGCGACGAAACGGATTTTAGTCGATGATGGTGATGATATCGTATTCAAAGGTGAATAATGGCGACATCGGTGCTGAAACCTTGCTTTGTTTCATGTTTAGTGACTCCGAGTTACAGAATTTGGTCTTTTCCCCTGCCCACATCCGCTGACTCAGATTTGTTCTATCTATCATTTTTCCACGTTCTGACTTTCTTCTAGGTCCTAGAAGAATCTCCTAGAATCTAGGAGATTCTCGGAGAAGCTGGTAGAAACGTCTCCCGGTGACGTCACCACGCAGAGCTCACCGCGGAGCACTCTGATTGGACGAGAGTCACGGGAAAGCTCGAGAACTCACGAGAAGTCAGCGAGGAACGTATAAAGTCACGGTGCCGGTTAGAGACCCTGACATCAGATCACCGACAGGAGCTGGACGAGACAAACGCTGCAGAGGAGAAGAAGAAGAGCTTCATTCATCTTCTAAACGATCTTCATCTGTCAGCCAGAGTGAGTTTCATTTATAGTTTATTTGAAATAATGTTCTCTTCAACGAAATTAGTTTCTTAAATATTAGGCTTAAGAAATGTAATGTTCAGGGATACTTTTAAAGCTTATTTAATTAAGCTTCATTCATTAGTGGCTGGACGAAAACTCAAAATTTACAATTCCTCTACATCTTTATGAAATAAGCTTTATTTTTTAACTTTTTATTTAAGTGTTAAAGTGTTCTTCCGGTGTTGGAAAAGTGTCAATTATAAAAGATAACTATTGCAGTATTTGATTTAAAAATGTTTAAAGAAAACCTTATTTAAAAATCTACTGATTTTTAAATATCTAATAACCTACTGATTTTTAAATAATCTTACTTAAATAATCTACTTAAAATCTACTTATTTTAAAAATCTACTGATTTTTAAATAAGGTTTAGACATGAGGTGGATTTATATCTGTACCCAGCACCTAAAATCATGGCTGCCTTCTAGAAAATACAGTATTAATCGTGCAGAGTCATGAGACCATATTCAATAATAAATGTATACTTAAATGACTCAGTTGGACTAGGGAAGATTGTACTGATTTATTTTTAAATGCAGCAATGTTTAATGCAAGATTTAAAAAATATTTAGTTATATTTAAAACTTAAAATCTGAACATTACATATTGCATAAATTGTACAACTTTGTTATTTTAAGGACCCATAGTTTGACTTCATTTAGCGCTCCATAAACAGAAGTTGTTGTTGCCTCTGTCAGTATTTGTTAATGTTCCTCTCTGATGTTTTCTCCTCCTCTTTAGGAGACTAAGTCAAAGTAATCAAGATGTCTTCAGCTAAAGGCGTAGCGATCGGCATCGACCTGGGCACCACCTACTCCTGTGTGGGGGTTTTCCAGCACGGGAAAGTAGAAATCATCGCCAACGACCAGGGCAACAGGACCACCCCCAGCTATGTGGCCTTCACAGACAGCGAGAGGCTCATCGGGGATGCAGCCAAGAACCAGGTGGCTCTGAACCCCAGCAACACTGTGTTTGATGCCAAGAGGCTGATTGGAAGAAAGTTTGATGAACCTGTGGTGCAGGCGGACATGAAGCACTGGCCCTTCAAGGTGATTTCAGACGGTGGGAAGCCCAAAATCGGAGTGGAGTACAAAGGGGAGGACAAGGCCTTCTACCCCGAGGAGATCTCCTCCATGGTGCTGGTGAAGATGAAGGAGATCGCAGAGGCCTACCTGGGCCAAAAGGTGTCCAACGCTGTCATCACGGTCCCGGCGTACTTCAACGACTCCCAGCGACAGGCCACTAAAGACGCGGGCGCCATCGCGGGCCTCAACGTCCTGAGGATCATCAATGAGCCCACGGCGGCCGCCATCGCCTACGGTCTGGACAAAGGCAAGTCAGGAGAGAGAAACGTCCTGATCTTTGACCTGGGTGGGGGCACCTTCGACGTGTCCATCCTGACCATCGAAGACGGTATCTTTGAGGTGAAGTCCACGGCCGGAGACACCCACCTGGGTGGAGAGGACTTTGACAACCGCATGGTGAACCACTTTGTGGAGGAGTTCAAGAGGAAGCACAAGAAGGACATCAGCCAGAACAAGAGAGCCTTGAGGAGGCTGCGCACAGCTTGTGAGAGGGCCAAGAGGACCCTGTCCTCCAGCTCCCAGGCCAGCATCGAGATCGACTCTCTGTTTGAGGGCGTCGACTTCTACACATCCATCACCAGGGCTCGCTTTGAGGAGCTGTGCTCTGACTTGTTCAGGGGAACCTTGGAGCCGGTGGAGAAGTCCCTGAGGGACGCCAAACTGGACAAGGGACAGATCCACGATGTCGTCCTGGTGGGAGGCTCCACCCGAATCCCCAAAATCCAGAAGCTGCTGCAGGACTTCTTCAACGGCCGGGAGCTGAACAAGAGCATCAACCCGGATGAGGCCGTGGCTTATGGTGCCGCCGTCCAGGCCGCCATCCTCTCGGGCGACACCTCGGCCAACGTTCAGGATCTGCTGCTGCTGGACGTGGCGCCTCTGTCCCTGGGCATCGAGACGGCCGGAGGGGTCATGACGGCCCTGATCAAACGCAACACCACCATCCCCACCAAGCAGACCCAGACCTTCACCACCTACTCCGACAACCAGCCCGGCGTCCTGATCCAGGTCTACGAAGGAGAGAGAGCCATGACCAAGGACAACAACCTGCTGGGCAAGTTTGAGCTGACGGGGATCCCGCCCACCCCGCGAGGCATCCCGCAGATCGAGGTCACCTTCGACGTCGACGCCAACGGCATTTTGAACGTGTCTGCGGTGGACACGAGCACCGGCAAAGAGAACAAGATCACCATCACCAACGATAAGGGCCGACTGAGCAAAGAAGAGATCGAGAGGATGGTGCAGGACGCAGAGAAATACAAAGCTGAGGACGACCTTCAGAGGGACAAAATCGCCGCCAAGAACTCCCTGGAGTCCTACGCCTTCAACATGAAGAGCAGCGTGCAGGACGACAACCTGAAGGGCAAAATCAGCGAGGAGGACAAGAAGAAGGTGGTGGAGAAATGTGACGAGGCCATCACCTGGCTGGAGAACAACCAGCTGGCTGATAAAGAGGAGTACCAACACAAGCAGAAAGAGCTGGAGAAAGTGTGCAACCCCATCATCAGCAAGCTGTATCAGGGAGGGATGCCCACTGGTGCTACCTGTGGAGAGCAGGCGCGAGCTGGCTCCCAGGGTCCCACTATTGAGGAGGTGGACTAAAGAGGCCCTGAAGATGGACTCTGAGCTCACTGGGACTGTTGAACACTCACATCGGACTCTTTAGCTGTGTCCCAAAACGTCGGCTGCATCCTCTGGAGGCCGCATTTGAAGGCCGATTATGTCACAGCCAGGCGACGAAGGCTGTCCCAATTCGTCGACTCCTTCAAACGCGGCCGACAAATGCGTCCTTCATTCCCCCGAATTTGAAGGATGGGTCAAGTGTGTCCTTCGTGGCCCACCACATCCCAGAATTCATAGCGTGGCCCAGCCAAATTTCAGCTGCCAACAATGGCGGCCGCTACTAAGTTTTAAAATTACTCTTATTAATCTTTCTGGGCTACAAAATAAACTTTTAACATATTTTAAGGCGAGAAAGTAGCTGTGTAAATTACAAATATCTGCTTGGTTTATCAAGACATCGTATATTTGCAAAAGTGTGCCGACATTTTTGGAGACGTCTGTTACTCACCCGCTCGATAGCAAGCCAATGGTCACTCCAGCCGGCGAGAGCAGCGGACTCCCGGCTTCATCGTTTTCAGACCCCCGCTCTTTCGCTACTCAGGTTAAACATGATATATTAGTCACTCAGATAACTTAAAAATGTAATTGTTTGGCTTTTTTGGGTGTTTTATTTGTTCTGGAGTAAATCGGTTTGGTTGAGATCAAAGTTATTAGATTATTAGATTAAATAAAACTTTATTAATTCATCGAGTGGGTTCCTCCGGAAACAGAAGTGTGAGATGGTCGAGAATTTACGCCAGTGTCCTTTTATATTTTAGATAGCAAGGAGCAGACGGCCGAGTTTATTAAACTCTACCGACACAGCGGTGACGCTAATCTGAAGGCTAGACCATCCCATTTCACAGCCTCGCACTTCTGGCCTTCTTGGTCTTTGAAGGACCCGGCCCACGTCGACCGCGAAGGCCGGGTCCTCCGAAGGATGCAGCCGACGTTTTGGGACACAGGTTTTGACTTCAAACTATTGGCCTCATGTTAGTTTATGTTATTTATAATGTGTAAATGAAAAAGTGAAGGAACAACTATACTTGTGTTCATGATTTTAATATTCTTGCGATGCTGGATTTTGCAATAAAAACAGTCATTAAATACATTTATGTTTTTCTTTGTTTAATTTACCATGTTGTCATACATATCGCTGCATTTTGAAACATTTCTCCATCTGAATTTTGTCATCCAGTTAGACCAGAGATCATTAATACTGAATTTTTGTGCAAACTGTTTGAGGCCTTTAGGTAAAAAGAGGATCAGGAAACCATCTCTGTACAAGGATAAATCAAGAACGCATGGCACCGTATATATGAAAACAGGCACTGCAGTATGCAGAAATACCACTAGATGTCACTATTTAACACCTTTCAGAGCCTGAATGACACATTTTTATCAGAACTGAGCAGCTTTACAGCATTCATGCACAACAATCAATACTGCCACCACCTCTCATTTTCTTTTTCCAGTAAAGACAAACTCACCTAATTTTCTCATTAGTGTACGGTGAAATTGGTTTCTTTTAATTTTGAACAAATTGAAAAAAAAAGTGTATGCACAGGACTAACTGCCACAAGATGAAGAAATAAGTGCAGATCAATCAAGACATTTTATATTACTTACATAATTTAGCTGAATAAAGACATTGGTAACCCACAATGATAGTAAATGTCCTGTATTGAAAGTTGATGAGAAAATACTGAGTAATTGGAGGAAATTTACGACAGAGGACTGCAGCTTTATGTAACTATTTAATGCCTAATATTATGATTTTTACTTTTTAATGCATAAAAAAGTCTAATTAGGCACAACTGGAATGTTCCTTTTGCTGAACCAAGAGTCCAAAATGGCTGCAAATGGGTCAATCTTTAACATGTCTAAAATACGAAAGGTCAAAATATTTTCTATATTGTAAGATCTGAACATGTTCAGCTCTGTCTGTCTGTTTATCAGTGCCACCATCTCCAGACCGAAGATCACTATCCTGTAAAACCTTCTCTTTCACTCTTGCTGCTCTCCTGTTTCTCATCATGCCTGACAGTTGGCTCCACCCACTCCACCCGGGCTGCACTCTCTTCTTCACCTCTCTTGTGCACTGTCTGTTGTTGTGGGTGGTTGACCCCAGGTATTTAAACCAATCAACTTTCGCCACCTTTGCACCTTGCATGTTTTTTTTCCACCTGTCTACCTCTCATCAGAATCAGAATCAGAATACTTTATAGTATTTTTTAGTGCTCCATTATAAACAAATTCACACACCTGTGACACGTGACACACAACACCTTTTGCTTCCACTGACTTTTATTCCTCTTTCCTCCAGAGCATACCTCCACTTCTTAAAGCTCTCCTCTACCTACTCCCGACGGTCACTACAGATCTGAGTGTTATCTGCAAATATCATAGACTAGACCTCATCTATCAGGCTGTCCATCACTATGAAAAAATCAGCACACCACCTCACATATCATACATGTACACCATATATATTATTTCCTGTACATTCTTTATTATAATATTTTTACAATATCTTATTAGCTTCAGGAGATTTCTACATAAATCCCTGCTGTAGTTCATCGTGTGAATAATCTTTGGTTTTTAAAGCTCTCCCTCTCCGGCTGAATTTATAAGTTCTGGATATTAACCGCAGTCTCGTAAAAATAATCATGAAATCAAGCCTTGGAGCGTTTGTACTAGATTATTAATATCATGTAGGTCGGTTTATTTATACCCTTTTATTTGTGAAGCGGGACCCTTGTCGGAAGTAGAAGACAGCAGTTTCCGGTCACCGCTCTGAGTCCCGCCCCGCCAGCCCGTGCCATCTTGTGTTTAGCAAGAACAAAAACGGGGGAAGAAAACACGCCCGGCCCGGGGACGGGGCGCGGATTTTCAGGCTGCTTTTTAGGCGTGTTTTTCAGAAAAGTTGGTGCAGCTGGACAGTATGCTCGGAGGAGCAGCGGCGTGGAGAAACAGCAGCCACACCCCGCAGGACGGCTCCGGTTAACGTTAGCTCTCAGGCTATCCGAGCTAAGCTAACCAGTTAGCAGCGGCTAAGATCGCAGGACGAAGGCGAGCTTCGAGTCTGAGCCGGTCTGTGACATCTGGAAACCCCGCATTAACTTCACAAATATCAGCAGTGACCTGGGTGGAAATGCCCCGGACGTGGTGGTGACTGTTTGCGGAGAGGGATTCCGGGCTATGAGGATTGAGGTCCACTGTTAGCTCGGCTGCTATCGGTTGTTTTTCGGTTCAGAGCGGAACCACAATAAGCCGCGGTGAGTACCGTTAGTTAGCGGCTCCACACGGGCTAAGTGGAGGGCCCCTAATGTGCCAGTGCTTTTTAAAAGATATTCGTAAAGAAAAATAGTAAAAATGTCACCGTAGCTAAAGTATTTGTGATCATTTTTTAGTCGTTAAGAGAGAGATGTTAAAGTTGGGAGTTTGGCGCAGTAAACCTGCAGGTATTTTTTGATGTTGTTGTTTTTACATTACTGTCCTACATTTTTCTGTTGCTTTGCTTTTTTTTCAGGTGTATTTAGTAAGATAATTGATAATTACGAGCCAACCTAACAAATCCAAGCTAGGACACGCAGTCATCTAAATCTGACCCAGCAGTCTCCAAGCAGTCGTTCGTGTAACTGAAAGTATATCAGTGTTTTTAGAGAAACGATCTGAGTTTAAATGCCGAACAAAACAGCCAATAACCGGCTTACTAAAACAGCTGATAAGATATCTGTGAGGGTGGAGTGCAGGCCGTTTTGGAGCTTCTGTATCCAAATCAAACTATCTTAATGGATGTGAGCTTTCCGTTTTGGACCAGCTCTCCATGCAGTGCTTATGTAAGCCTTAAAATCAGAGCCACACATCTCCAGTGTCCTTATTTCCTCCTAAATAACATTGGAGAAATTGGGTTTGTTATAAAGACCCCAACTCTCCTCCTCCTGCCTCAGGAGATTTGGCATCAAGTCACGGAAAAGCATTCAGCTTTCACTTTGTGTAACTGTTACATGTTCGTGTGGTCGTGCAGTTTGAGGACATTTTAGGAAAGTTTGGGCCACACGCTCGTATCAAACCTCTTACGTTTGATTAAAAATGAGCCATTGGCCTCCACATGACTGCACAACGCTCGCAACATCTTGGCTTTAATTATGCAAAACTGTTTGCAGCTCCGAGCTAAAATTCAGCCATGTGATCGAGGTCATTCAGCCCCACTGACGCACAACATTTCACATCATGCTTTGTTTAAAAAGAGCAGTCTGTGGCTCTGCTTCTCTTTTTCCTTTCTCTTGATTTTATTGCCAAACAAAAATGTAACTTGACTGAACAAGTTTGTTTTTCCATGTAGGAAGTTGAGGAAACTTGCTTTCCTAGTCTTGCGTGTTCAAGCTTGCGGGAGCGGTCCCGTTCCTCAGAACAGGGACAAAAATAGAAACCACGAGATGTCTTCTCGCCTCAGAAACGACGGCTGCAGTTAACCGTGAACCTGAGAAGTCAAACAATAATGGCGACCGACCTTTGTTACTCGACACGCAGCAGCATGCGTCCCAAAGCTCGAGTCTGATGTTTCATAAAATTTTACCTAGCCATGAACACAACAAAGACCTTATGCAACAGAGTCAACATGACCCCATTTGAATGCTGCTGTTATTTCTACTGTGATCATCTTTGTCGGGCATCTGCACAGCCTCAGAAATGCGTTAAAAAAGATTGTAAAGGGCCCAAATGTCTGAAAAGTTTTTTTTAAGTAATATGAAAGGTTTAAAAAGAGAAATTTGTGGAGACGTTTGTCTTTGAGGTCCACATGAGGCTGTTACCTGGAGCAGCTGGCAGTAGGCCTGGAGATGTGATCTGTAGTGGATTATACACAGATAACAGAATCAGTGCAGTTTTAAGTGGATTTTAAACATTTTTTTAATTTAGGTCTTTGTCAGACTAACGGGAAGTAAAGCTGTAAGAATCGAACAGACTTTAATCACTAAAAGTGGAATTGTTCCTCAGAAAATGAGGGGCTTGTTACCCCATAAATACACACAGTATGTGTCTGCAGTGTTGGTGCTTCACCGTTTTATCAGCTGCACATCTTCACACCACACCAGAAACATTTAGACCGTACGAGGTCTTTTATTTTGGAAATTGGCCTGGTTCTCTTCCTGTCTGTTCTGAGTCTGGCTTCTTCAGCCGCCATCAAAAACAAGTCTGATGCTAATTTGAACCACACTGTAATAATAATAATAATAATAATAATAATAATAAATTTTATTTATGAGTGCCTTTCAAGTCACCCAAGGACACTTTACAATAGGATAAAACACTTAGTAAAACAATGGCAGAATAAGAACAATAAAATAAAAGCACAAGATAAAATTAACAAACAGTGGATTCACAGTGAAAACGCAGATTTGAACAGATGAGTTTTGAGTTGGGATTTAAACTGTGGGAGAACCAATGTTTCTTATTTCTGGGGGCAGAGCAGCTGAAAGCTCTGCTTCTCATGGTGGTAGAGCTTTCAGCTGTGGAGAGCTGCTTCTCAAATGTCCCTGTCACATACGCAGTCGTTGTATTTAACACCTTTTATTTATCTTAGTGCTTCACAGGTGACTGACGAGCCAATGAGAAGGCTCAAAATGTAATTCAGCTGAACAGTTGATGAGCAGCTTAAAGATGAAACATCCAGTTACATTTTAAAGTGGTCTGTGGGCACAGTAAGAATACATAAAAACAATTTGAATTAAACGTGATAATAAAAATACAGCAATGCTCAGCGTTGTTAGAATACTAGGAAATCAAACTCTACTATCCGATTTCACTACCACAAGAATTAAAAAGCATAATTGTTTTTAAATAAAGATTTATGGACCCAACAGATGAGATGCCTCAACACTGCTGCTGTTCAACAAGCTTTTAATAATGGAAATATTTACTCACAAAGGGTGTACAGAAATAAAAAAAGAGACATGAGCTAAAATAAACAGAAATTGAAAATGACACAGTGCGTCAAAGGATTTGGAAGCTTCTCCTCTGAACTAGTCCTGAAAATCTAAACTGGAAATGGCAGCGCTGCTGACTCAGCTCAGCCTGAACTTGTCTTATTTATAAACATGCTCTAAAGTTGCTGCTGATGGACACCAAGCCATGATGGACCAAGATGCTAGCTGGTGACCGCCGTGCTTCGCCTTCAGCACTAAAAGCTAATAAATCAGGAGGGAGAGGGCAGGTTAATGAGAGTGACAATAATAAAAACAAAACAGACAGCTGGAGTGACCTCGTAGCAGCAGATCTGTGAAGGCGTATTCAGTTAATCTGAAGTCTTTAGAATCACTTTGCTCACATTTAGTATCACTTTATTTTTTTTTGGGGGGGCAAACAAAAGGAAGAAAAGCAAAACAAAAATTGGCGTGTTTGCATTTTCATAATTTTGGGAAGGTGCCCTAAATGTCTTTCCTGATGACATCCGAGGTAATGTGAGATAAAATCCATCAGAAAGTCAAACCTCAAACATAAGAGGAAATAAAGAGTACCAGAATTAGGGCTCGGCCATATTATACAGTTCACGGTAATACCGTTAGGCAACGATAAGAAAATGAAACGCGCATGCGCAGTGCCTTTGTTTTCATACGCACATGGCCAAAAAATCATGGCGGCGACGGAGAATGAGAAGGGAGAAAGCAGATCATTGAGTGAAACGGATGAACCAGAACTGGTTTGTAAAAATGCTGCAACTTCAGTGATGTGGAACTGGTTTGTGTTTGTCCGTCAGATACACAACAAAGCACATTTTTTGTAGAACATGCAAGCGGCTGTTATTGCCGTATTTGTCAGACTACAGTGCTCGTAAATCTGGGAATAATCTGGGTCCTAAACTCAGTTTCTTCAGGTCCCAAAGTCAAACGAACACTGCGGCATCACTGAGAGTTAAAAACTGTCTAAATTCTTTCATCTGTAATAAAACGATCAGTGTTGCTGCTTTACCAGGTGTAACAATGAAGTTTAACATCCAGGCATCCATGAAAACAGGATTATTACACTTAACGGAGTTAGAAGTTAGCATGAAGTTAGCGGAAGTTAGCTCGCTAGTTAGCTAAACATGATATAGCATGTTCTGACTGAGAGATTTCTGAAGCATTCAAACGTACAGCTCTGCTATCACTTCCAACATAAATG